ATCTAGCTGATGTCTTAATAATTAAAAGAGGTATACAAATAACAAACCAAAAGAATAATCTGGACAGCTTTCCTATACTGAATTTACAAAAAAGACTTGTTAAAAAACTTTGTGAGAAGGGACGAAGAAAAATAAATAAAAAGAAATCAAGTTCTAAAGTACTCTTTGAAAGGACTAAAGATTTAGATTGTTAAAAGTGAAAGGAAGGAATATAAAGTTGGTTTATTTGGTCAAAGTTAGAAGTGATATGTTGTCTCTGATAATCCTTAATGGACTTTAGCTGATCAAGTCTGAACAATGAGATTTTTAGGTTTTGTTTATGATAAGATATGAGAAATGAGAAGAAGAGATCATTTGGCACTGATGCCATTTTTTGAAGTTCAGCAAAACTGATTCTTCCCAACTTTACCAGACTCTTTTCCTCTCTCAGATACTGTTCATTTCTTACTCATTATGAAGTATGTGTGTATGTGTGTGTCTATAGCTTTTCTAGAAATAGATATCGTGGGTTTTGTGGGAGGGGTTTGTAAAATGACTTGTAGCCTAGATTTATTTCCTGCTTTATCCTTGTCACATGGTTATGCACCTGAACTATTGTTTGATGTGAAGCTCCTTGGGCTGGATGTTGAAATTCTACTAAAAAGCCATTTGGGTTATATACATCACCTGAGGTCTACTTATTTGTAACATAAGAGAAATACCTGAAGCTGTAACACCGCCCTTTGAAACACAAGAACATGGAAACATTAGTGGCTTGCTGAATTAGACTACTAAACATTTAGTTCAGCATTTGTTATTATGCAGTGGCCAAACTCACAAATGCAGGTAGAAAAGTATTTCTTTTTAATTGGCCCTTAATCTCTTCAAATTTGTCTTAATCACCATTTCTGAGTTTTCAATATTATGAGAAAGAAAGAATAGCTTGTAAAATGTATTCACATTTCATATTATGAGAAAGAAAGAATAACTTGTAAAAATGTATTCACATTTTTTTATATTGGGCAAAAGTGTGTACACTTCCACCAGATTGGATAGGGTGGGCGTTCTCCAGGCCCCTTCTCTTAAATGTTGCCATCTATTGGGACTTAGGAAGTGTTCCCTTTCCCATAGCAGCCTCTCCCCTGTGGGAGCCCCTCCCTTTCCCCATGAGAACAGGCAGGCCCCACCTCTTAGCCATCTGGAAATCTGTAAAGTGCCAACTCTTCTACTCAAGTATTTAGGGTTTATTTTTGGCTTTTGTTGTTATGAGCCACCCAGAGTTCTATATCTTAATTTAGACAGCTATATACTGTAAGTCTTTTCGATCAATCAATCTCTTTTATCTGCTAATTCATCCCTATTTAAAAGCCCCCAATGCTGCTATTGTCTCTAGGACTGTAGCCCAGAAGTTCTCAGCTAGGGGCCATATGGTCCCCTGAGGGGGCCTTGGATTTTTTTAAGGGGGCTTACATAGCGGGCCATGGCATGTACTGAGGGAGCCATAGAAAAGTGTATTATAAATAGATTATAAAAGTGTATTATAAATAGATTCCCACTGATGTAAGAACATGTACCAGTTAGTGATCTATGTCCATATCCAGTAATGAGACCTGGACAAGAGGGAACCATAATAAAAAAAGCAAGGTCAGAAAAAGTGCATGGTGAAAAAAGGCTGAGAACCACTGCTCTATCCCCTTCACTATTTGGGTTGCCTCTCTTTGCCCTTTCTCTTATTCTGCCTGAAGCCAGGTAGATTGTTGTAAGATTTACTAACTAACTCTTATATTTCCAATTCCTAATGATGCCAAGGGTGGAATTTACCATTTTTAAAGCAACCATAGGCTGAGGTGACATTTCTGACAGACAGAGCTTGTCCCTCATGATTCCAAAATCTTTTTAATCTCAGCTCCCAGCAATAAACAAATTGAATTTTGCATATATATTTTTGTGCCAAGTTGTATCACTTAGCAATCATGATGATATGGACTTACATTTGTCGTTGTAGTTCCCATTCACCCACTTTAGATAGAACCTTTTGGATATCTTCCCAATTTCTTTTTGTGAGCTGTTTGGTATCAAGAGCAAACTGGGCCAACTGACTATTTATCCCTAGCACTAACTTCCTTTACTGGACCCAGCCTAGTTTGATCATTCCTTCAATCGGAGAACGCTCTTTTTATTCTTATTCTCTGGGCCCCTTGTTTCTCAACCTTGACTACTTTAAGATACAGTATATGGTTTCAATTCCCAGAATTCCCCAGCTAGCCTATCTTAAAGTTTTCAAGCTTGAGAGACAGAAACACGGGTGTGGGCCAGTCCTATGGACTCAGAAACACATGGAAGTCTAGCAGCTTGTTTTATAAACAAGAGAAATCCATCTGTTCAGGCAACCAGCCAAATTAGGGACAGTTGGTTTTTTTAAGCCGTCTGTTTGCTTGTGAGAAGCAGTCTAAGCAGCACATCCTCAATGGAGATATCTCCATTGATCTGGGACCCAGGGCTACTCGGTTTGCTTTATGGTTATAGTCAGAGTTTGAACATAAAATGCATTGAATCTGCATTCATTGCTGTACGATACAAAAGAATTCTCCTTATCCTAGTCCAGAGATGCATTTGTAAATTAGAGGAGGTATATAAATTCCCCTTAAGAGTGCTGAATTGGGTGTTTTTTAATTGTGTTTCTCAGTGCAGAATGATTGCCAAGGTGTTTTATATTAAAAAAAAATAAAGCAAGTGCAATGACTGCTTATACTCCTTTCAACTTTGCTGTTGTATATTCTGCTGTCTACATACATTAGAAATTTGGAGAAATAGAATCCAAATCAAATATGTTTGTGGAACATGAGTTTGGGAGGCATTTCTTAATGAAAGATAATCCATACTGGTGGATTATTTTTGTTTGTCACTGCTAAGAAATGCATTTATACTGTTGATACTATTAGAAAGATACGTATATATTCTTCCCTTTTGCAATCTTCCCCTAAAATAACAATTTCTCCCTGTCAACCTTTATGCATTCTATACATTATATCTGGTGTGAGCAGAAACTATAGATCCTGAGATCCAGATAGATAGTGTGATTTGCAATAATTCAGCAAGGATTTCTCATTCACAATTATGTTTAATAGCAAAATAACTCTTGAGAGCCAAATTGTATTGCTGATTTTTTAAAAAAAAATGGAGCAAAGGAAGTGGATTTTGGAAGGACTGCAAATTTTTGAGCTTAATTTTTTTTAGTTCTAATCATATGTAATGGTTGGTCCTTGTGCAAGTTAATAAAAACATGCATGCTGCAATTCCAAATGTTCTGTTTTCTGCCCCAATTTCATAATGCCAGTATTCAAAAGCATGCTGAAAAGAACTCTTCATGTGTAGAAGTAATGTTTTTCATAATAATAATGCAGTTTGAATAGAATTCAAGTTTTGCTCAAGGAGAGCTGCTGGGATATTCCATTCAGCACCATAGTGCAGACGAGTAGGGAAAATGATTATTTGTTTCATGGCTGTTTCAAAAATCTACATTCCCCTTTCTAGGCCATGAAGTTAACTCTACTAAAATGCATGCAGCCTTTGTACATTCTAAAGCATGCTGGATGACACATCATTCTGAGTTTGGTTTTTTTTTTATTTTAGAGCGTCATGCAGTTTAAATATTGTAATTAGACTTGCATCATCTGTGACATTATCAAAGGACAAGAATTAACGATAGTAATATTAATCCATTCATTCAGCATGTACCATAGCACTGTTAAATTAACTGGTTTTGTTATACCATATTTTCCTTTTTCCTCTCCTTATCTGCTGCTTTGCTGATTTTCATGCAAATATAAAATATAGATGCATATTTTCAATAGAATGTGCTGCACATCTCTTTTTTTAATCCAAGTTTTAGCTTACAAGAGCTAAGTCCCAGGTTAAATTCTCAGGTCCAATTTATTTATTCCATATGAAACTCATATTTCCTCCAATAAACTGTAGGTTGCATTCATATTTTCCTCCCGCCTTTCATTTAACCCTTGAAACAATCTTGTGAACTTCATTAAGCTAAGACAGCAAGTGACAGCTGGCTCAAGGATGCCCAGTGAATTGTCTGTAATTGATTAGGAATAGTCATTTTAACCTTGATTTAAGTATCATTTTAAACCAGGAATGGGAAATCTGTAGTTCTCCAAGTGCTGTTGAACAACAGCTGCTTAGGAGCCCAACCTCTAGTTCCATGTACTACAGTCTCCCTACCTTATTATATTAAGCTGCTTTCCTATAGTATAACCTCAAAAGATAAACAGATGAATACCCTTTCTATATGGCCCCGAAGTTTGCATTGCAATGATCTCCACCTTTGATCATCTTCCTGAGGCTGTTCCTCTCCGTAGCATAAGAGATCCAATATATTTGGAGGCTGTAGAAGCTAGGTCAGACACATGCAGTAGAAGTCCTTCAGTTATTGTTCTCAACTCTTGTTAACCTACACTAACTTAGCCATTGAAGGGGCTTGGTGAATGCACTGTGCAATAGCGTTGTCTACAACTATGAAGAATGAAATGAAAGAAGTGACAACCTACCTGCCAGGAAGTGGCACCATCAAGGGTGGGGAGCGGGAGAGGAATGGAGAGAGACTTCAACATCTATTTTCAAAGGTGGAACGTCAAGACATGATAGCAATAACAACTTTTTTTAATTATTACAACCGGCATCTCACAATATTTTTTGTGAAACCTTTCCCCCAAATGTATTCTTTTACAACAAAACAAGTTGAAACTCAGACACTTGTATCTTACTCTTTCGCTTGGTTCATATACAACATAAAATCAAGGGTTGTTGTTTTTTTTGAATAACCCATAATGACTCATTCACATATAATGCAAAAACAAAATTTATGGCTTCTCACATTTTCTACTACATTTAAAAAAAGACTTTCAAGCCTCAGATGGCTGAATGTTATATATTGGACTGTCCTTTATGATTATGATTATGATCAATAATGATTGTTCAGCCTGCCTTTCTCTTTGTCCCTGTCTAAGCTCTTCACTGAAGGCATCACCAACAAGCTAATGGCTTGTTTCACAGATGAGAATATGAGAGATGCAGTCCTAGTGCGGGTCTATGGCAGGAAAACAGAACTTATTGTGGACCGAGCCAATGAGCTGAGAAATTTCCAAGTCCTTCAGGACAACGGCTGTGCCCCCAACCTCTTCTGCACTTTTGAGAATGGATATTGCTATGAATTCATGTCAGGGAAAGCTCTGGGACCAGAACATATCCGGGAGCCAAGTATGTTCAGGTATGTGTACCTCCTTGCTCAAATCTGGAAATAAAGCTGATAGTTATTATGAATAGGAAAAGGTATTTGCTCCCTGCTTTTAGTTTGGCCCCATAGTGCTATTGTGGTGATATAGCTGACGTATTACTCAATTCCCAATTTAAAAAGTTTTAGAGATAACACAGAAAAAGAGATGCTCAGAAGACTCATAGCTTTTGCGTAACAGTGTTTCAATGTCAGACTTTTTTGCCTCCATGGCAGGATACAAACCCACCAAATTCCCTTTCTCTACTCTGTCCCAACCCCAGATGTTTTCTGCTGTAAAAAAATGAATGAATAAAAAGGGCTATAGCTGATGCATGTTTTGAAATCCAGTGAAGATGCTTAAACTTCATTTTCATTTAATAGGAGACGCAGTTGGGAAACTAGATCATTTACAGATCTTCAAATTAGTTGCACAGGAGACCACAAGGAGTATTTCTTTTGCAGATTATTTTTCTCAAAGCAATTTTTCTTTAGATAGGTTGAACTATGATTCCCATTATCCCAAGGGAGACTAAAACAGGCTGGAGATTATGAATATCACAGTCACATTTTTCTGGAGGTACTAGATTAAGGAAAACTGTTTTAAAAGTAAGTAAGTTTTAAAAGAAAGCTACTTTCCCAAAGTAATACCAAGTGAGAATCCCAATACCGCATAATTTTGATCAATTACCATGGTACTGTATTTAGCACAATCACTAGCACTGATGAACGTTTACCTAGTTTGGGTATTGAAACGTGTGCAAGAAAACAAATAAGATCGGAGAACACCAGGGACCTCTCCTTTCAACCCTGAACCACAAATATTCTCCTGTATTGGTACGTAATTAGAAAATAATTAGCATGTTTAAAACAATACTTTGTATAATGTTCTCTTGGATCAGAGATCCCATATACTAAATTTGGGCGATGTTTTTGTAATGGATGTAGGGCACCCATTTATCCAGAGTATTAAGTTAGATACGTTGTCATGCTAGATTTATCGGAACTGGGATACAGAAAGTAGAGTACAATATTTGCTGATTTTTGTGGGCTCTTTTCAGTTGTCAGAAAATGAACTAGAGGTATATCAGTTTTTCTTTTTTCTTTTTACATGCAAAATTAGGGAACATTTTGAAGACAAACTGCTTAAATAAACAAAAATGAATTAATTCAGATCTGGCTGGATTTTCCAAATTAGCACTGATGATGTTACTTGGTCTGGTAATGAAAGATTTGCAAGAAAAAAAATCAAGCTCAGAACTCCCAAATTATCTTTTTTATGCAGTTCTAATTCATCCGTTGTGGCTTTAATTTGTACAACTCAAAGTAACATGTATGATGTTACTTCCTCCTGTTTTCCCTACAATAGTCCATTGTCTTGGACTAAGAAGAACTGTCCTAAAGTCAGCCAGACAGCTTCCAGAGATCAGGGACAACTTAAGTTCCCAATCTCCCACCTTAGCCACTACACAAAACTGGCTCCCTCTTTTGCTACATTAAAACAGTTGAACTGTTCATTCTTTGTGATTTATTTTAGGCTAGTAGCTCAGGAGATGGCCAAAATGCACAGGATTCATACCAACGGGAGTCTTCCCAAGCCTTGTCTTTGGCACAGATTGTACAAGTACTTTAATATTGTGAAAACGGAGTTTGCTCAAAAGACATCAAATTCCAGGTAAATTTAAAAAATAAAAATGAATATCTGGTAAATACAACAGTTAACAGTTTTGGTTATGGCATTGCAATTATTTTAAGCATATAGTACAAAATGCTGGGATAAGCAATGAATCAAGGAAAGATAATAAATTTGTTCTCATTTAAAACACATACACACCCATGATAAAAGTTATGGCTGGGTCTTGGACAAAGTTTTTGAACTTTCAAAATTGAAAAGATGTACATAAATTTGTGGAATGAATTTGTCTAGCCTGTTGTTGAAAACTTAGGACACGTATACATGGTTTATCAGATTTGATTGACTTCCATAACCTGATGCCCTCCAGATGTGTTATAGTCCAACATATATAGAAAGCCAGTAGACAGAACAAATGGGTTTTAATACTGAATAATGTAGAAATATCAGACCACAAAGAGTACAAGTCAGTGTCATTTATGTTGCAGCAAAAATTGACTATTACACATTTTACGTGCTTTAGAGTAAAAAGTTATATAGTTTAGAATTTCATCTAGAATCATACTGTGCAATAAATCGCAACAGCATTTATTCTGAAATAGATTTTTTTCCTTTCTGAATAAAATGCCTATTTGTCTTCTGTGCATTTAAAGCACAATTATACATTAGGTTACTATAGGGGACACCCCAGTGGTGGTATTCTACCGGTTCGGCCTGGTTCTGCCAAGCCGTTAGTGGCAATGAGCAGTGGAGACCGAACCAGTTATCTCCGACACTCTGCTGTTGGGCCCACCTGCCCGCCCAGTCTCCCATACTCACCTTTATCCTCTGCTTTTGAAGAGCAGCTACTTTGCACGGCACAGCAATTGCTGCGCGGCAGCTGCTGAAGCGACTGGGATCGTGCAGGATTGCAGGAGGTGACTCAGAATGCATCTGCACCTGCGCAAAATGCACTTTTGGCACACGCATGCATGCAAAGTGTGTGCACGTGCACAAAGCGTGCCCACCAAGCCACGCCCACCGAGCTGGGGGTAAAAATATTTGAAATGCACCACTGGGACACCCCACAGTACGATCCATCTTTTTGCAGCAAAACTTACAGCAAACCGTATTCAGGCACATTTATTTCAAATATCCCAAGATTTTCACATCTGTGTATAACTGATACTGATTTATAGGAGTATGCTTCTAGTTCTCCTGTCCAATTTCACTTCTACTTAGTCCATTTGCACAGATGGGCAAAAGGCAAGAAATCTGAGCACGGTATAGTAAGGATTGTGTTTGCTTTGCCATTCAATAATACCTTCAAAAGAAAGTAAGCCTATATCATCCATGAAAATTTGTTGTAAAACAATTGCTATGTTGGTACAAATAGTATTTAACTAAGGGTGAATACTAGGATCAGAGGTGGTTTAAGAAAAGCTAGAATTATTATTGATGAATATTTTTAATTGGTGAAAATTTACAATTTTAAATATTTCTTTGGCAAATTCATATACATTTGATAGAGAATTAATTACTATTTCCTAATAGGGGCCAGCAGCTAGAAAAAGTGAGCCTTGTATCACAAATCTTACTAATTTTTAAAAAAAGACTCTAGCCATAAGAAACGTTTACTGTCTAGCAGTGGGCATGGCGTCACTTTGTTTTCCTTCTCAAGCTTCCTTCAGGAAATGCAGATTCCTAGCCTAGAGGTGTTAGAAGAAGAGATTCATTGGATGAAAGAACATCTCTCCCAGCTTCAGTCTCCAATCGTCTTCTGCCACAATGACCTTTTGAGCAAGAACATCATCTACAACAAAGCCGAAGGTTTGTTACCTTGTTCTCAGACATGCATAATGCTTGCAAACCAAGCATTAGTTAATTTAGAACATCATTCAAGATAAAAATGATGTTGGCACTTTTTTTTTAGAAGAAGCCTCTTTGCTAGAAATTCACTTGCAACAGTTTCTGGCTTTATTTTTTCAGGTCATGTCCGGTTCATAGATTATGAATATACTGGCTACAATTATCAAGCATATGACATTGGGAATCATTTTAATGAATTTGCAGGTGAGTGGATATCCTCCCCCCACCCCGGCATTTCCTGCATTTGTAGAAGCAGGAAATATCTTGTTATACTTAAGATTGAAATACATTATATATCACTTTTCTCCTATAGTAACAGCAGCAACTCATTACTCATAAAAGGCACTGCTCTTTAACCTTCTGCCAAGTATCTGCAGATCTCTCACTGTGCTGACTTATTGTGCTCCAAGATGTGAGAGTTGTTTCTGGGCTACTAATTCCCATTTTGCTTCCCAGCAGATTCAAAGAATGCCCCTGTCAGAATCTGAATCTGAGGAGAAAGATGAACAGCTGACAGGGAATGGGAGTATGGCTCCGTTGGCTGTGGAGGAAACTGGGGAAGGGCAAAGTCCAGCTGGGCAGAGCAGGGGGGAGGTAGAACAAGGGAGAGGGAGTTCTGAGGAAGACCCAGGCCCACCCCCTCTTCATCCTAGACCACACAGGGAGGAACAGAGAAGAGAGCAATGTGGGTTGCATAGTTTATGTGGGAGGAAAGGGCCCTGATTTCCTTCATTAGACACACCTGCGAAGAAAGTTTAAAAGAGATGCAAGCTGAGTTTGGCGTCTGCTGGGAACAAATGTGAGTTTATCTTGTGTTGACTTTGGTTATCTGCGTTCCTGTCATCCTCCCAACTGGGTTGAATTACTGCCGTTCCTTCATATCTAGAATTCCTTCTCTTGCCCTGCTGAACTAATTACCTCATCTTGCATTGATTGGACTTGTAGTTACAGTTTTTTCTTGACAACCTTTTGGACTTGAATCTCTGCAGCCAACGGCTGTTCCTAGGAGAGTTTTTCTCCATTACAGAAGGTAACCCAGGACATTGGGAGCAAAGTTGGAGCAAATAAAGGGACTCCTACTTATTATTTGACTGTTTTGCCTTTGTGCCCCAGGTCATCACAGAATGGAAGGCAAAGTTCAAATAAGTTTGCTTTAAATTACAAACTGCTGAGAAACACTATCAACATAGTGATAAATGGCTTAGAGTCCATCGGAGTTGGGCAGCCAATACGTTGAAATAAATAAATAATAGTATCTTAAACAGCCATTTTAGGTCACTGTAAGATGATTTTCCTACCCTGATCCTCCCTCTCTCTCTTCAGCAATTCTGATTTTAAGGATGGGTTTTAGAAACCAACTGGAAGATTTTCAGAAGGAAAATGCAAAAGTTGTTAAGAAAAGATTTAAGCGGTAGCACTTCTTCAGAACAAGCTGTTGGTTGGATGGCTATTTGCTTCTGCTGCACTGTACACTAGAACAGAATTAACATGATTGCAGAAGAGAAGCAGGCTTGCTCTGTGTGATAGTCTACACTGAGAAGCAGGACTTCTCTTGATTTTGCTGAATGACTTTTAACAAATCTTTTAAGATATGTAGAACTTGGGGGCCCTATTTTGCACTGATTCCAGCGATATTTAATTAAATGTTTCCAGAACACAGTGTTGGATATTGCTCAGCTTCCCTATTCCCCTCAGGACCTTATCTTCTCCTTTAAGAAACACAAATATCTGCATAATGCCTGTGGAGAAGATAATTCAGAGCTGTGTCTTATAATTAAGCTTTGGCTGGACACTTCAGAATTGTCCTTTCAAGGAAAATGTCTTGAACCTGTATCTGAAATCAGCAAGGAATTGGATGTGGGCCAAAAAAAGCCTCAAACCAGCCAAATCTCCTTCAGGTGTTGCTTTTGACAACCATACACTGAGGTACTGGCACTTTGCTGCTAATCCCTGTTCCCTGTGGAGATGATTTTGAAAAGGGTTTGGAAAATTCTGGTAGTATAATAGTGTAACAGATGGATTATTGTCTTGTAGATACTTTAGAAGCTATTTATTACCAGGCTTAGAACAGCTATTCCCAATGCTTGCTAAGTTCAGTTCAAGGTTGCTCTTTTAGATCTATAAATGGCTTGGGCCAGAATATCTCAAAGACTGCTTCCTCCCTTGTGAGATTACTTATAATCTATAACATTCATCAGGAGTCCTGAAAGAGAGGCTAGGCTGGCGGATGTAGTATACAGGATGTTTTCCACAGCACTGTAATGTTGGGAGTTTTATTCCAAGAGCAATTAGGATGGGTCCATCCTTATTTACTTTTGTAGTCCAATAAAGAAGTATTGTTTGGTTAGACCTTTGATGTCCTCTGCTTGATGTGAAGCCCAACAAAAGGAAGAAAAGCAATGGGAAGAAAGGATTGAGCTGTGGTTACATTGATTCAAAGCTTTTCTTAGTTTGGGTCTTTTATTCATTCCATCAATAAACACCCGCATTCATTCTTTGTAGCGAGCTACAATATGAAACAACAGCTTATCCAGTAGACGAGTTCTCTCAGCATTTCATTATTTCCATTCTCAGCCTCTTCTCCTCTTAAATCTCTCTCCTTGGTTCTACCAGTCAAATTCCTTCAGTTTGTTCAAATAACGACAGAAACTGTAAGAGAAGTACTTCCTTCTACAAACTTATTTTTCCTTCTTCTGTTGTAACCTTGCAATTTCTTATTAATATGCGACAATAGTACAGTAATGCATTGGGGTATACAAATCTTAAAATCAATCCAAACTTTCCAACAGTCTGGCTAAATTTAAGCCCATGTATTTTCTGGTCTCGGTTTAACCCATTTCCATCTAGTCTGACATCGACTGCACCGAGTCCTCTTGCCTTCTCTGCTCCCAGGGCTCAATGAAGTCGATTACAACTTATATCCATGCAAGGAAGTCCAATTGCAATGGCTGAGGTACTACCTGCAGTCTTACAAGAAACTAAGCCCAGAGGACCAGGGAGAAGGAAACAAAAGCAGAGGAGGGAGTGGAGCAATATCTGAAGAAGAACTGGAGAGTCTCTATGTGCAAGTGAACCAGTTTGCTTTGGTGAGTATTTGCAAAATGATCGAAGGGTGGATAAAATAAGGGAGACTATTGCATGCTCTGAAAACTGAGGCTGTCCAAGTCACATTAATCTAATGGCCATTTTTATATTTATATTAATTTATTAATTAAAAAGAAAGCCACAGCATCATACTAATCGTTTGTTTTCTAATCTCTCTTCATCCCTTCATCTATTAGCTATTCTTATCTATAGATCAATGTGATGTCTTCTAGATATTTTGGATAACAGCTGTCATATTCCACAGCCAATATGATTATTGGCAATTGAAATTCATTTGTTTGGAAGGCACTCTATTAGAAGAGGGTATTCTGTAACTATTTATTCTACCCTGCAGCCTAAACCTAAGACAACACATTTGTTTGCCTAAAAGTGGAGACTAGTACTGTAAAAGTCAGCTTCTACTTGCATCAATCTGTGTATGGTTCTTATTCCTGCAGTTCTAAGGACAATCTAATTTGAATGTTTGCAACCATGACCATGTAGCTTCAACAACAGTCATTATTTCCTGTTTCATTTAGATCAGCGTAAGATTTTGAAGAACATCAAACCACATAGGTACAAATTTAGCTGGGCCCAGTTCGGATATTTTTGTGCTATATTTTGTTCATCCTTCTCGTGACTTTGTTCATTCTGCAGTGGTTTTTAGCTTGTTCCACTATCACAGTTCTATGTATTCCCAAGTTTTCTCAAATACTAGCTATTGTTTTGCCTTTCTGTGCTGGTTCTTTCTTTCTTTCTTTCTTTCTTTCTTTCTTTCTTTCTTTCTTTC